ATGAGGAATAAACGAGAGTCTGAAATTTACAATTTTTAAAAACAAAAGCTTATTATTGTGCAGCGTTTTTAATGCATAAGATCAGTAAATTACATATTCAATTAATTGCAAGAGAGAGGAGGGGGGAGAGGGAGGTGCGAGGAAAAACGAAAAACTTCACTCCTCATTGTTGCGGTCTTTTGAGAATCAATCAAGGAGTTTTGAGCAGTGAGATAACAGAAGGCTGTCTTGCATACTTCACTGAATTTTTTTCTTTTGCTTTTTAAACAATAATTTTGTCGTTAGCAGCGACTGTCAATTCTTTGTTTTTATTTTCGGACTTAAATCACTAGAGCATCAAAAATACTGTTAAGTGATATAATCACTACGTGTAACGATGGCCCTCTTGAAAGATTCTGATAATAAATAAAGAATTCTATCTGAATAAACAATTTAAAATCTGAATTATTTTTCGCATGTTAATTTGATCTAGTTAACTTACTGTATTTGAACTTGTCTTTCAGTTTTTAATTTGTTAGGATATACAGCTGAAGAAGAAAATTTCTTTCAGTGTTTCTTTTTCGTTGTTGTCTTTTTGGAAGGAGATGTAAAAACTGTCTTGCCAGAATACTTTGTTAAACAACGTTTCCGTTTTAAATGATCGACTACGCGATCAAAGGAAGCGCGATCTGTAAGTGTTTCCAAAAACTCTTCATACTTTCATGTGTACAAACGGAAAAAAACCAGTGTTTTGCTTGTAATATTTGTCATCGCTCGCATTCTCTGAAAAAAGAAGACTGAATTTAAGGCATTTGGTAGACTGATCAAAAGTATCAAGCGGTTTAATGTAATATTAACGTTCTTTACTCAATGTTCAAAGTTTTGAAATGAGATGAAGGAATAGCTGAGATAATAACGTACTTGAGCTCGATTAAACCGGTAAAAGCTGGCACGGAAATTTCGGTAGTATTTAAGATTAAATGTCTTTAAAAACTCAAGTAAAATTTACAAATGAAAATATTATTGTAGATAAATAGGCAAATGAATAAACAAATAAATAAACGAATTAATTAATCAATTAATAAATCAAATAATTAAATAAGAGCCATTCCATGTCAAACTGTTCACTTTTCTCTTCACACCCCAAATTTTTCCAAGATTTATAGATTAGTAGGGTCTGGATCAGTATACGGAAATCCGAAAAAAACCTGAAAAAATAAATTTCCTGCCAAGTTACACCCCCTCAAAGTTGCAAAATTTGTCAGGTTGCCATCTGACACACTTACATTTGCAGACTTGTAATTTAGCCATTTTCAATAGAATTCAATAGCTTTTTATCTTTTAGATTTGTCATGTTTTTACTTTTAAATCTATATTTATTATTTCAATTTCGTTGAAAAATCACATAAATACAATAAAAATAAATTATCGAACGAGCATTGTTTTAAATTTTTCAAAAAAGACATTTTGTGCAGAATTTTTTGCTCTAAATTTGGTAATAGATTTTAGTATCAAGAGCTACGAGACGGAATTGAATGTAAAATTAAAAGAAACCTAATATTTTTACAGAAATGTCATGTATTTTTTAGTGACGAAACTAACCGGACTTGCTTCTGTAGGCCGCAGCAGGCAGCTACAAATATCCGGTATTCTTCAAACGTTGAAAATTTGTTACTAAAATTGTACTTTACTTTAATAATATTAACAAATTATCATTCTGCAGAGTTGTAAAAAGTAGCCTTTACTTTAGCGTTTTCTATTGCTCGTGTTTTATTCTGTAAGAACTATGCAGCTTTGGAAAATTTCTATTTTTGTGGAAAACCACAGTTCATAATTCCAAAAAAAGTCAACAAATCAGGTTTCTGTTCCCTTTTGCAAATAAAACTATAACGAGTACAAGTTGGAAACAATTCTAAATACAAAAAGTAGAAAACGCTGGAGTAAAGGCTACCTTTTACAACTCTGCTATATAATAAATTGTTAATATTATTCAAGTAAAATACAACTTTAGTAACAAACTCTTAAAATTTAAAGCATACCGGCTAACTTAATTGTTCGCTGCGGCCTTCAGAAGCGGGTTCGGACTGTAAAATATATTGAATTACTGTAAAAATAGAAGAGGTTTTAAGTTTTAAATTACGTTCCGGCTCGTAGCTCTCGATGGCAAAAAATCGTCATCTTCATACCTCGATATGTTGTAGAGCAGAATATTCTGCACAAAACATGTCTTTTGTAAAAAATTTAAAGCTTCTTTTTTGAGTTTTTGTTTGAAATTTTATTTTTATTGTATTTATGTGATTTTTTAACAGAATTGAAACAATAATTAAGCATTTAAAATTCCAGGACATGACAAATAAACGACGAATCTAAAGAATATAAAATCATTAAATTCTATTGAAAACAGGCTAAATTACCAGTCTGCGTGTCAAGTGGGAATCTGCAAATTTTGTAACTTTGACGAAGTGTAACTTGGTGGGGAATTCACTTTTCTATAGTTCTTTTCTGCTTTCCGTATACTGGTCTAGGCTCTAATAATCAGCAGAGTTACGAAAAATCTGAGGCGTAAAAGGAAAAAAGTGTGCGTTTTGGCATGGAATGGCTCATATATACATAGGGCCTTTTTTTATACATGCATACACATATATATATGCATGTATAAGATAAGTTTTAAAAATAGTTATGAAATGCATACACATATTGATACAAATTTTAGTGATTAGTAATGATCAACCTTCGTCGACGTTGGGCCATAAAGCATTGTTTTTGTTGATTTTGCCACTGATGGCATTAATAAAAACTACAGCTTCTTAAGGATTGGTGTAGCTGAGAGAGATTGAAAATGAATATAGTTTCAAGATTTTTGGACTAGTTAATACCATTATCACATTTACTTGCTTAGTGATCGATATGGATGAACGAATTTCAAATAGAGGGTACAAAAACAGATTTTATCTGCTTATTTGCATTTCTGTTTGTCATTTGAAATAAAAATAAATAGCCTTCATTAATAAGGAACAGTTAAACGTTGCAGTTGGAACTAAAAACTTTTTTGTAGCACTCTCCTCTCAACTCGTTAAGTGTTGGCTATGTCGCTGTGAATTTAAACGCTTTTTTTCAGTTATAGGCGTGTGTTATTGTTAGGCACAGTATTAGGAGGTCTAAAATTGACCACGGGTCGCTACTATTACAACTTTTGCTGTTAGTGATTTTTGTCAGTGGATGATCTAGTAGCAGTGAATCACCTGATTCTGACTGCTGAGTGGCAGTGCTAATGAAGGAAGAGCAAAAAAGCCAAATTATTCATAATATCTGAATTATTTTTCAAGGAAATTTGTTTGTTTGCCAAATTGTTGCTGTAACACAAGATGGAAAACAGAAACCAAAAAATAAATACAGTTGAACAACAGGACATGATTTATGTAGGCGTCGGTGGCAATAAGCTAAGGTGTCTTTCCATTGGGACCGACGGCCCTTTGCTTCCTCTGACACAGGAAACAAGTAGCTATTACCGCTGCGACTCAAAGCCTTGTTGAAAAGTTAAACGATGATTTTTTTATAAAAGATTTTAAAGATAAATCTTTTTTTTTGTTTCAACATTTATTTCATACAAATTGGTTCTCATCTTTTACAACTTCATCTAAAAATAAATAAAAAAAGAAAGTAAAAAACTTCTTGCTTTTACAAAGTCTTCAACAATAAATGCATAGTTACTCACTTGTCAGAATTGTAAAACTGTTTATAATTATCATTACTGTTCTTGTCTACTGCTTTAACAAACTTTTTTAAAATTTTTAAGTCTCTACATTTTGATTGTTTTGGACGTCAGTTTTCGTTGACAAAGGACTTACTGTTATCGGGCCTAGTTTAATTTCTTACTGAAATCTAGATTCTTCATTTCTTAGGAAAACTAAAAAACTTCGCTTTTTGAGCAGGACTTTTGTGGTCGGAGTGTAGCAGAACTTTTGAAAGCTCATGTAATAAATTTTTGAAAAATTTTTAGTAGCATTAACAAATTGGCACTGATAAATCTGTAGCAGGGTAACAGTTATTGTATACTTTTCTTAGACACTTATATGATGTATGAAGTGTTTGGAAATGGCTTCGAAGTTGATTGGATTTTTTGCAATATTCGTAGTTTTTGATCGCTCGTTATTTAGAAACAGTCTATTCATTATGCCTATATAAGATAGTACTAATTAGACTGTGCTTCTAAACGAGAGTATTTCAAAGATTGTTTTATCAATTCTGTTTATTTTATTTTTCTGATACTTTTTTCAGTATAGCACCTTTCATTTACCACTTTCATATGTAAAGTGATTACCTTAATCGATTGTTTTTTTAATAAAATTATTGGCCTTATATGTTGCATGGTATAAATGAAGAAAGTATATTTAATTTTCAGAAATTAAAGATTGCGGTTTTGTTTGCTGTTTACACAACTTGCTATTTTACTGTGGTCTCTACTGGTATACATCCTGCAAGAGGGATTATTTTGCAACTTCTGTTGTTTCTCAGTACATTTTAGTTTTCAAGTTTTTCGCTAAATCTATGGAAATTTATTGTAGTTTGAACCGTAATGTATTAAATTGTTTTATTAGTTATTATTGTTCAAGTTTATTTCTTGTCTTTTTCTACAACAAAGCTGATTTTAGCAGGTAAGGTAACCTTTTCTTTTGAGAAATGACAAGTATTTCCTCACCAATTTTTTTGTTTTTCGTTTTCGATCTATCCCTCGTTGCACTACTTCTTTCTAGAAGTAGTCTCTGTAACGGTGAGACAAGATCTCTTTTCTAACTTTTGAGGAAAAGCGATTTTACAATGACGGGCTGAGTTCTGTTACAAATGATACCTTACAACCAAGCCCAAAAAGCGCCTTTGAATTGCGGTGATATCTAGGAGTCTATCTTTACACACAGTAATAAAATGATTTTTCTTGTTGTGATGAACACCTGCCACGCTATTTGCTTTTGAAGCCTTTATTTATGGCTCTGTTTTAAACAAAAACTTAATTTTTAGCAAAAATGGCTCAAACACACAAAGTTAGTGATGTGATGACAGATGCAGATTTTGAAAAAGCCTTAGACGAATTGCGAGAACAAGATGAATCTGGGGAAGTCAATGAATTGCTCAGTAAGTTTTCTTTACCTAACCTACATTTGACTGTACTAAATATCTATAAGAGAGAGAGAGTTAACAGTGTTTTTTGAATTAAATCCAGTGTTTTTGTCTTCATTGCGTTGTGGCAAAAAAGTTCGGTATTTTAAGCAAGTTGTTATATGGCAAAGGTTTTTGTATCTTTCCTTTTTTTTTTTTTTTTTTTTTTTTTTTTTTT